CAGGAGGAAAGGATGATACTGAAAGAGAGAGTGCAAAAACGAAAGAAGGAATGGGAGGAAATGACAAAGAAGAGCAGAATAACCCAGGCACAGGTGGAAGGGCAAACACATCCCCCAGAAACACCTGCAGAAGGACTCCAACCACGATACCCCCAGGGCAACTGAACAATCTAAACCAACAATCACACACCGATCCCTCTGTTCCCACCCCCCGCACCACGAACCCTACCCCTACAGCAACCCCGCATGGGAACTCTTCCCTCACTGCAACCCCCCACAGGCCCCACCAGGGCTCCTGCTCTCCCAACCCCAGTATTCCCCCAGGACCACAGTTTCAGTATTAGAACAGAAGTTGAAGGTTTGGTACACAAATGCGGATGGATTAACGAATAAATATGAGGAGTGGCATGAAAGAATCAATGAGAAGTCCCTAGACATCATAGCAGTTACAGAAACGAAACTCGCTGAGACAATAACAGATGCAATCTTCCCACCAGGATATCAGATCATGAGGAAAGATAGAAGGGGCAGAGGGGGAGGAGGGGTTGCTCTTCTCGTAAAAAACCGATGGAAATTCGAGAAAATGGGATGCATAGACGAGATTGGAGAGAAGGACTACATAGCAGGTACACTTCAGTCTGGGGAGCACAAGGTAGTCATTGCAGTGGCAAGAAGAGCTCACTCGAGCAGAGCAAAGTTACTGGTTATGGGCGATTTCAATCACAGGGATATCGACTGGGAAAGCCTGGAGCCACACAGGGGTCCCAAAACATGGAGACCTAAGATGATGGATGTGGTACTGGAAAACCTCATGCATCAACATGTTAAGGAAACTACCAGAGTGAGAGGAGAGGACGAGCCAGCAAGGCTGAACCTCTTGTTCACCCTGGGCAGTTCAGACATTGAGGATATCACATATGAGAGTCCCCTAGGAGCTAGTGACCACGTGGTTCTGTGCCTTGAATACATAGTAGAGTTACAAGTGGAGAGAGTAACAGGAGTTGAATGGGAAAAGCCAGACTATAAAAGAGGGGACTACATAGGTTAGAGGAACTTCCTGCAAGAGTATGAAAATAACATAGCATCGAAAGTCAAGATTGACCCGAAACTGCTGTATAGCCACATTAGGAGGAAGACAACAGTCAAAGACCAGGTGATCAGACTGAGGACAGAAGGTGGAGAACTCACAAGAAACGATCAGGAAGTATGTGAGGAGCTAAACAGGAGATTTAAGGAAGTATTTACAGTAGAGACAGGAAGGGCACTGGGAAGACAGCACAGAGGTGAACATCAACAGGGAATATACCAACAAGTGTTGGATGACATACAAACAACTGAGGAGGAGGTTCAGAAGCTGCTAAGTGACCTTTATACCTCAAAGGCGATGGGGCCAGACAACATCTCCCGTGGGTCCTTAGAGAAGGAGCAGAGATGCTGTGCATGCCCCTAACCACAATCTTCAACACATCCCTTGAAACTGGGCAATTACCTGAGATATGGAAGATGGCAAATGTAGTTCCCATTTTTAAGAAAGAAGACAGAAACGAGGAACTAAACTACAGACCAGTGTCTCTGACGTGTATAGTATGCAAAGTCTTGGAGAAGATTATCAGGAGGAGAGTGGTGGAACACCTGGAACGGAACAAGATTATAAATGACAACCAGCATGGATTCGTGGAAGGCAAATCCTGTGTCACAAACCTTCTGGAGTTTTATGACAAGGTAACAGAAATACGACACTAGAGAGAGGGGTGGGTTGATTGCATTTTCCTGGACTGCAGGAAGGCCTTCGACACAGTTCCTCACAAGAGATTATTGCAGAAGCTGGAGGATCAGGCGCATATAACAGGGAGGGCACTGCAATGGATCAGAGAATACTTGACAGGGAGGCAACAACGAGTCATGGTCCGTGACGAGGTATCACAGTGGGCACCTGTGACGAGCGGGATCCCACAATGGTCAGTTCTAGGATCAGTGCTATTCTTGATATATGTGAATGACATGATGGAAGGGATAGACTCTGAAGTGTCCCTATTCGCAGATGATGTGAAGTTGATGAGAAGAATTAAATCGGATGAGGATGAGGCAGGACTACAAAGGGATCTGGACAGGCTGGACACGTGGTCCAGAAACTGGTTTCTCGAATTCAACCCTACCAAATTCAAAGTCATGAAGATTGGGGAGGGGCAAAGAAGACCGCAGACAGAGTATAGGCTAGGTGGACAAAGACTACAGACCTCACTCAGGGAGAAAGACCTTGGGGTGACCATAACACCGAGCACATCACCGGAGGCACACATCAACCAAATAACTGCTGCAGCATACGGGCGCCTGGCAAACCTGAGAATAGCTTTCCGATACCTTAATAAGGAATCGTTCAAGACACTGTACACTGTGTATGTTAGGCCCATACTGGAGTATGCAGCAACAGTCTGGAACCCACACCTGGTCAAGCACTTCAAGAAGTTAGAGAAAGTACAAAGGTTTGCAACAAGGCTATTCTCAGAGCTCAGGGGAATGTCGTACGAGGAAAGGTTGAGGGAAATCGGACTGACGACACTGGAGGACAGAAGGATCATGGGAGACATGATAACGACATACAAGATACTGCGGGGAATAGACAAGGTGGACAGAAACAGGTTGTTCCAGAGAGGGGACACAGAAACAAGGGGTCACAATTGGAAGCTGAAGACTCAGGCGAGTCACAGGGATGTTAGGAAGTATTTCTTCAGTTATAGAGTTGTCAGGAAGTGGAATAGTCTGGCAAGTGACGTAGTGGAGGCAGGAACCATACATAGTTTTAAGACGAGGTATGACAAAGCTCAGGAAGCAGAGAGAGAGAGGACCTAGTAGCGATGATCAGTGAAGAGGCGGGGCCAGGAGCTGAGTCTCGACCCCTGCAACCACAATTAGGTGTGTACAATTATGCGAGTACACACACACACACGCACACACACACACACACACACACACGGCCCAGCGACAATTCGAGAACGAAATAGCATTGAAAGCCAAGTATGACCGGCAGCTGTTGTACAGTCACATCAGGAGGAAAACAGTCAAGGACCAGGTAATCAGGCTCGACTGCGAAGCATGTGAGGAACTTAACATGAGATTTAAAGAAGTATTTACAGTGGAGACAGGAAGGACTCCAGATAGCCGAAATAATGGGATACGCCAGCAAGGGATACATCAATAAGTACTGGACAAAATACACACAACCGATAATGAAAACACTGCTAAGGCACATAGAGTCAGTACCTGACCAGCCGGGATGTGGTTCGTACGTCATCTTGCTTGCGGCCAGCAGTAACAGCCTGGTTGATCAGACTCTGATCCACCATGAGACCTGGTCTCAGACCGGGCCGTGGGAACGTTGACCCTCGAAACCCTTTCCAGGTAAACTCTAGGTAAGTGCACTAGCTACCTCAAAGGCGGTGGGACCTGGCAACATCTCTCCATGTGTCCTAAGAGAGGGACCAGAGATGCTGTGTGCACCACTAACAACAATCTTCAACACATCCACTGAAATTAGGCAACTACCTGAGGTGTAGAAGACAGCAAATATAGTCCCAATTTTTAAGAAAGGTGAGAGACATGAGGCATTAAACTACAGTCCAGTGTCACTGACGTGTATAGTATGCAAAATTATGGAGAAGATCATTAGGAGGAGAGTAGTGGAGCACCTAAAAAGGAATAAGCTTATCAACGACAATCAGCACAGTTTCACGGACGGGTAATCTTGTGTCACAAACCTACTGGAGTTTTATGACACGGTAATGGTAGCAAAACAGGAGAGAGAGGGGTGGGTAGATTGCCTTTTCTTGGATTTCAAGAAGGCTTTCGAAACAGTTCCACACAAGAGATTAGTGCAAAAGCTAGAGGTTGAGGAATGTGTAACAGGAAGGGCACTGCAATGAATCAAAGAATACCTGACAGGAGGCAACAACTATTCATGGTACATAACGAGGTGTCAGAGTGGGCGCCTGTGACGAGCTGGGTTCCACAGGGGTCAGTCCTAGGACCGGTGCTGTTCCTAGTATATGTGATTGACATGCTGGAAGGGATACACTCAGAACTGTTCCTGCTCGGTGATGATGTGAAGTTAATGAGGAGAATTAAATCGGATGAGGATCAGACAGGACTACAATGGGACCTGGACAAGCTGCAAGGCTGGTCCAGCAACTGGCTCCTTGAATTTGACTTCACCAAATGAAAAGTCATGAAGATTGGTGAAAGGCAAAGAAGACCACAGACAGAGTACAGACAATGGGGCCAAAGACTGCAAACCTCACTCAAAGAAAAGGATCTTGGGGTGAGTATAACACCGAGCACATCTCCTGAGGCACACATCAACAAGATAACTGCTGCAGCATATGGGCGTCTGGCAAACCCAAGAATAACGATCCGATACCTCAGTAAGGAATCGTTCAAGACTCTGTACACCGTGTAAGTCAGACCTGTACTGAAGTATGCAGCACCAGTCTGGAACCCACACCTCGTCAAACATGTCAATAAATTAGAGAAAGTACCCCACGAAGAAAGGTTAAAGGAAATCGACTTGACGACACTGGAGGACAGGAGGGATAGATGGGACATGATAACGACATATAAAAATACCGAGGGGAATTGGCAAGGTGGACAGAGACAGGATGTTCCAGAGATGGGACACAGCAACAAGGGGTCACAATTGGAAGCTGAGACTCAGATAGTCAGAGGGATCTTAGGAAGAATTTAATCAGCAATAGAGTTGTCAGGAATTGAATTAGTCTGGAAAGTGATGTAGTGGAGGCAGGATCCATACATAGTTTTAAGATGAGGTATGATAAAGCTCTAGGAGGAGGGAGAGAGAGAACCTTGTAGCGACCATTTAAGTGGTGGGGGGAGGAACTGTGAATCGACCCCTGCAACCAAAATTAGGTGAGTAGAATAACGTGAGTACACACACACTCTTTAATTCCAACATTGCTTCTGTCTGACATGATTGTATCATCTTCCAGGTGACTCACCGTCACCAGAAGCAGTGCCAATGTTGACTGACGGACAGGAAGAAGCCATATACGAGGAGTGGACCGGTGGGCAGCTTCGACCCCCTTCTCCTACCTACATCACAGTGTACAACTCATACGATGACACAATGAACACAACAGAACAAGAGAGACCGAGCGATTGGATTTCTCCCCAAATCCAAGATGGCCTCTCGCACGACATTGATAAGACGACAGCACAGAAGATGCAACCCTCCGGCCGTAGTTCCAACAACGACATTGAGAATGACTCTACCTGAACATGAGGAACGTGACACCACCGTCTGTTTCATCCACCAGAGGAAGAACAAACTAAGATAACAGACGGGACAATCACCCAGTATCAATACTGCACAAATATAACTTTCTGTCTTATATAACATCAGACAGTATACCATCATGCAACAAAAGTATTCCCTCTAGTTCAACTAGCAACCTACACATCATGCAACTAGAAAATACTAGACATAGTTTATTACAGGAAAGAAAGTTAGGTGACCTAGAATAGGTTTATCTAGGCACAGGTGCACATAAGTACAATTATGATACATAGTGTAAGTTACCTAGAACGACCACAACTAACTAATAACTAACAATGATCCGACATAGTGTAAGTTACCTAGAACGACCACAACTAACTAACAACTAACAATGATCCGACATAGTGTAAGTTACCTAGAACGACCACAACTAACTAACAATTAACAATGATCCGACATAGTGTAAGTTACCTAGAACGACCACAACTAACTAACAACTAACAATGATCCGACATAGTGTAAGTTACCTAGAACGACCACAACTAACTAACAACTAACAATGATCCGACATAGTGTAAGTTACCTAGAACGACCACAACTAACTAACAACTAACAATGATCCAACAAATTTAACTAAAGCTTCTCAAGATAACAGAAATAAATGACGACCAGAAAGTAACACAAAGCATCTGTGGTAACACATACATAACAAGTAACATCTCTCAACACCAGGATGCTAAAAGTTGTACAAGACTGCAAAATTAACTTGGATTCACAGACGACCGACTTCCTGCATAATTAAGTTGACCAAATATGTTGAAAATAGTACAAAATATTAACAACTTGACGATTAAGACACATGTACAACAGTTGTGTATCTTTACTGATGCAATGTTTCGCCCACACAGGAGACTACTGTATAGGCGAAATGTTCCAGCAATAAAGTTACCCAACTGTTGGACATGTGTGTTAATTCTGGATGTAATACAACAACAACAATAACAGTTACCAGATACAATAATCTTACACAATCATTATTCACATGATGATACAAACTCAAGTATCTGCTTGAGTAACTCATTGTAACTCATCAAATATAAGTTCCGGGTTAATACGGTAAATATTAACATCAAGGTGACCCGTATACTAGACAAACCCGGTCAAAAACACTGTTAGTGTGTATGTTAATGTATGAAGTATAGCGTGTATGTTAATGTATGAAGTGTAGCGTGTATGTTAATGTATGAAGTGTAGCGTGTATGTTAATGTATGAAGTGTAGTGGTGTATGTTAATGTATGAAGGTAGGTGTATGTTAATGTATGAAGGTAGTGTGTATGTTAATGTATGAAGGGTAGTGTGTATGTTAATGTATGAAGTGTAGCGTGTATGTTAATGTATGAAGTGTAGTGTGTATGTTAATGTATGAAGGGTAGTGTGTATGTTAATGTATGAAGGGTAGTGTGTATGTTAATGTATGAAGTGTAGCGTGTATGTTAATGTATGAAGTGTAGTGTGTATGTTAATGTATGAAGTGTAGCGTGTATGTTAATGTAGAAGTGTAGCGTGTATGTTAATGTATGAAGATGTAGTGTGTATGTTAATGTATGAAGGGTAGTGTGTATGTTAATGTATGAAGTGTAGCGTGTATGTTAATGTATGAAGTGTAGCTTGTATGTTTAATGTATGAAGTGTAGTGTGTATGTTACTGTATGAAGTGTAGTGTGTATGTTAATGTATGAAGTGTATGTGTATGTTAATGTATGAAGTGTAGTGTATGTTACTGTATAAGTGTATGGTGTATGTTACTGTATGAAGTGTAGCGTGTATGTTAATGTATGAAGTGTAGCGTGTATGTTAATGTATGAAGTGTAGCGTGTATGTTAATGTATGAAGTGTAGTGTGTATGTTAATGTATGAAGGGTAGTGTGTATGTTAATGTATGAAGTGTAGCGTGTATGTTACTGTATGAAGTGTAGCGTGTATGTTAATGTATGAAGTGTAGTGTGTATGTTAATGTATGAAGTGTAGTGTGTATGTTAATGTATGAAGTGTAGCGTGTATGTTAATGTATGAAGTGTAGCTTGTATGTTAATGTATGAAGTGTAGTGTGTATGTTAATGTATGAAGTGTAGTGTGTATGTTAATGTATGAAGTGTAGTGTGTATGTTAATGTATGAAGTGTAGTGTGTATGTTAATGTATGAAGTGTAGCGTGTATGTTAATTGTATGAAAGTGTAGCTTGTATGTTAATGTATGAAGTGTAGGTGTATGTTAATGTATGAAGTGTAGTGTGTATGTTAATGTATGAAGTGTAGTGTGTATGTTAATGTATGAAGTGTAGCGTGTATGTTAATGTATGAAGTGTAGCTTGTATGTTAATGTATGAAGTGTAGTGTGTATGTTAATGTATGAAGTGTAGTGTGTATGTTAATGTATGAAGTGTAGCGTGTATGTTAATGTATGAAGTGTAGCGTGTATGTTAATGTATGAAGTGTAGTGTGTATGTTAATGTATGAAGTGTAGTGTGTATGTTAAATGTATAAGTGTAGTGTGTATGTTAATGTATGAAGTGTAGTGTGTATGTTAATGGTATGAAGTGTAGCTGTATGTTAATGTATGAAGTGTAGCGTGTATGTTAATGTATGAAGTGTAGTGTGTATGTTAATGTATGAAGTGTAGTGTGTATGTTAATGTATGAAGGGTAGTGTGTATGTTACTGTATGAAGTGTAGCGTGTATGTTACTGTATGAAGTGTAGTGTGTATGTTACTGTATGAAGTGTAGTGTGTATGTTACTGTATGAAGTGTAGTGTGTATGTTACTGTATGAAGTGTAGTGTGTATGTTACTGTATGAAGTGTAGTGTGTATGTTACTGTATGAAGTGTAGTGTGTATGTTACTGTATGAAGTGTAGTGTGTATTTACTGTATGAAGTGTAGTGTGTATGTTACTGTATGAAGTGTAGTGTGTATGTTACTGTATGAAGTGTAGTGTGTATGTTACTGTATGAAGTGTAGTGTGTATGTTACTGTATGAAGTGTAGTGTGTATGTTACTGTAATGAAGTGTAGTGTGTATGTTACTGTATGAAGTGTAGTGTGTATTTTACTGTATGAAGTGTAGTGTGTATGTTACTGTATGAAGTGTATTGTGTATGTTACTGTTGAAGTGTATGTGTATGTTACTGTATGAAGTGTAGTGTGTATGTTACTGTATGAAGTGTAGTGTGTATGTTACTGTATGAAGGTAGTGTGTATTTACTGTATGAAGTGTAGTGTGTATGTTAATGTATGGGGGGTAGGTGTTTTTTTGTATAAAAGGTATGGTATTTAAATGTTGAAGTTTGTGTATTTATGTATGAAGGGTAGTTGTAGTTAATGAAAGGGTGTGGTTGTTTATGTATAAGTGGGTGTTTTAAAAGTAGAAGGAGGTTGTTAATGTATAAGGTGTGTGTATGTTAATGTATAAGGGTATGTGTATTTAATGTTAAGGGGTAGTGTGAAAGTTAAATGTATAAAAAGTTGTGTATGTTAATGTAAAGGGTAAAATTTTGTGTAGGTTAAATTATGAAGGTAGTTTATTTTAAATGTATAAAGGGGTAGTGTGATTTAATGTTTAAGGGGTATGTTTTGGGGTTTATGTAGAATGTAGTGTGTATTTTAAAGTATAAAGGGGTTTTGTGTATTTTAAATGTATGAAGGGTAGTGTGTATTTTAAATGTAGGAATGTGTGTGTATGTTATGTATGAAGTGTGTGTGTATGTTAATGTTGAAGGGTAGTTGTAGTTAATGTATGAAGGTAGTTGTTTTTGGGGTTTTTTAATTATAAAGGGGTAGTGTGTTTTGTTAATGTATGAAAGGGGGTAGTTTGGGTTTTATTTTTAAAAAGATTTTATTTTTTTAATTATGAAGTATTATAAAGTATAATTTTTATTTTAAGTAAAAAAAAAAATTTAAAAAAAAAAAAAAAAAAAAAATAAAAAAAAAAAAAAAATTTTTTAAAAAAAAAAAAAAAAAAAAAATAAAAAAAAAATTAAAAAAAGGGGGAAAAAAAAAATTTTTTTAAACAAAAAAAAAAAATTTTACAAAAAAAAAAAAAAAAAAAAATATATTTAAATAACTCAAACTTGATTACAAACATCAACTGCATAAATTTTTCCCCTGGAGGTTTTCAACATCAACAAAACAATATTTCCCCGGGGAAAATTATCAACATCAACGCATCAATTTTTTCCCCCCTGGAGGATAAATATCATCACAACTGCAAATATTTTCGGGGAGGATAAATATCAACATCACTGCTCAATATTCCCCCGGAGGAAAATTTATCAACATAAACCCAATCAAATTTCCCCCCGAGGATGTTATCAACACAACCTCATCAATATTCCCCCAAAGGGGTAATTAAACCAACGCATCAATATTTCTCCTGGGGAAAATTTATAAACACAACTGCTCAAAAATTCCCCCAGGAAAATTATAAAACATCAACTCATAAATATTCTCCGAGGTAATTATCAACATCAACTGATCAATATTTCTCCGGAGGATAATTACAACACAACTGCATCAATTTTTCCCCCGGGGGATATTACCCACATCAATGCATCAAATTTCTCCCAGGGGAAAATTTTAAAAACCCCTCAACTGCTCAATATTTCTCCGAGGATAAATCAACATAAACTGCATCAATATTTCTCCTGGAGGATAATTATCAACTCAACTGCACAATATTTCTCCCAGGGGATAATTATCAAATCAACTGAAAAATTTTTTCTCCCAAGATGATTATCAACATCAACTACTCAAATTTTCCTGGGGATAATTTTCCACAACTGCTAAATTTTTTCCCCCGGGGATAATTATCTCATCAACGCATCAATTTTCTCCCGGGGGATAATTATCAAATCAACGCATAAATATTTTGCCAAGGATAATTATCAACATCAACTGTCGATATTTTTCCGGGAGGATGATTTAAAACTAACTGCATCTTTTTCTCCCGGAGGTGATTATAAACTAAACTGCTCAATATTTCTACCGAGGATATTACAACATAAAACTGATCATATTTTCCGGGGAGGATAATTATCATATCAACTACAAAAAAATTCTCCGGGGGGATAATTATCAACATCAACTCCCAAAAATTTTTCTCCTGGAGGTATTATCATCATAAAACGCTGAATTTTTCCCCCAGAGGAAAATTATAACATCATCTGCATCAATTTTTCCCCCGGGAGGATTTTACAACATCAACGGCACAATATTTCTCCCGGGGATGATTATCAACATCAACTGCTCAATATTTCTCCTGGGGGAATAATTATCAACATCAACTGCATAAATTTTTCCCCCGGGGAGTTATAAAACATCAACTGCATCAAATTTTCCCCCCAGGAAATTATCAACCAACTCCCATCAATATTTCTCCTGGGGGATAATTATAAACATCAACCATCAATATTTCCCGAGGATGATTACAACATCAACTCTTCAATATTTCTCCCGGATGAATCACATCAACTGATAAATTTTTCCCTGAGGATAATTATCAACACCAACTGCATCAATATTTCCCCCGGGGGAGATTATAACAAAAACTGATCAAATTTTCCGGAGGATGATTTCAACCAACGCATCAATATTTTCTCCCGGGGGATAATTACCCACCAATCACAATATTTCTCCTGGGGGAAAATTATCAACGTGCATGGTACTGTAACTTATTATGCAGGGTACTGAAAACTTTTATCTACGGTACTGAAAATTTTTTATGTGCATGTATGTAACTTATTATCTACAGGGACTTAACTTTTTGACAGGTACTGTAACTTTTGTGCATGGTACTGTAATTATTATCTACTTGGTACGAAACTTTTTATGTGCAGGTACGTTAACTTATTTCTACAGGGACTGTAACTTATTTGTACAGGGTACTGTAACTTTTTAGGCATGGTGTAACTTATTATGTTGTTACTGTAACTTTTAGTAGATGGTACGTAACTTTTATGTCATGGTACTGAAACTTATTATCACATGGTACGTAATTTAAATAGTCAGGACTGTAAAAAAATTATGGCATGGTCCCTGAAAATTTTATCACAGGTCGTAATTTATTAGGGCAGTACTGAATTTTATTATTCATGGTCTGTAACTTATTATGTACAGGTATGTAACTTATTTTGGGTCCTGTAACTTTTTATGTGCATGGTACT